CCCCAAAACCCCAAAACCCCAAAACCCCAAAACCCCATGATTCTGTGATATTTTATTTTTGACTATTATATAAATTAGATTTGTTATAGTATCAGGCTTTTATTAAAAAAATGTACTCTTTATTATCACTCGACCACACATTTAATGTGAATTCTCCTATCTAGAAAAAGACAATAGATCTTAATAGGCTCGTAGAAAAGAAAAATAAACTTAACGATCCTTTTGGTAATATCTAGTTGTCTCATTAAACATTTATAGATAACTATATGGTGTCTGTTAGAAATAAGGAGGACTCATTTTCTATTTAGCCGACTTAAAGACAGACTCCAAAGGCGAAAAAAAGATTGATGAAAACGAATAAGTTTTATTTAGACTACAAAGATCTTAAAAATAATGGTTTGATAGAGGATACGACTCTGCCTAGTATGGTCTTAGAGAGAAAAGACAGTCCCAGGCTTAAGAAGCATTAGACTATGAGCATGAAAAACAGTAAACCTAGAGCAAAGGATGTGTTGCCTGAAATAAAGTTGGGCATTTAAAAAAACTAGGATATTGAGTACCTATAGGTTTCCCCTGTTAGAATCCAAGAAAAAATGGAGTATTATAGCTAGCTCATGAATAAAACCTTGCTCTAAGTGGATTTCAAAAAGCTTGAAAACTCAACTTCAACAAATCCGTTTGAAAATAAAAAGAAATCGATTGCCATTGAAGATCAAAATAATTCTGGATTAGACTACCAAATCCAAAATAATTCAATTCTTTAGAGCTACGATATAAGAAGATATGATCATACAACACTTAAATCTCCTGAATAAGAGCCGGCATAGAAAGTAATTAGTTAACAGAGTTAATTTGTTTAAGCAAGAGATCAATCATTGGAATCCTTCAGGAGTATTAATAGCAAAAATAATGATAATGATCGAACTTAGGATTAGACTTTAAACACCTCTGAGGAAAATGAATCCAAAATCAAAATTCGGTATAAAACTAAGTCATATGCTGGAACGAGAAGGACTATGCCAAAACTTAGTAAGAAGGACGAGGAAGAACGAAAAAGGATCCAAAGCTTGCTTAGAAATAACTACTATGGAAATAACTTTGCTGTGTTGTAAGGAGGGCAAGTTTAAAAACATAATTTAAAAACTAGATTTCCACTGCATGATATGGTTATTGATGATGAAGACTTTATAGCTAGAATGGTGATGCGAAAAGAAGACATAAGAGGATTGCAAACGCAGTTAAAATAAAGTATGTATCAAGATAAGGCTAAGCCATTCTTTAGTCCTAACCCCATGCAAACTAACAGGAAATTTAATTATAAATAGAATGAACTTATGTAAGCTAATTACTGAGTCATATATTCATTAATTTGAAATAATTCTCTTATTAAACCTATCAAATTCATTTTTACGGGGTTTTGGGGTTTTGGGGTTTTGGGG